ACTTGATAGGTCTCAATCAAATAAATAATTTTACAACAGCCATGTAACCGTAAAACAGATTACCAATTTAAAGAACTTGTTTTTGCATAAACTCAAGCAAAAAAAAAAAAAAAAACTGTGGAATTTTTCAATTTTTTTTGTATTGAAGAGAAAAAGGAAGGGACGAGTAATTGTAATCTCTTATTGAAGTGGCTTCTTTTTAAAAATATTTTTTAAAATATATGTTTAATCTTAATGCAAAAAAAAAAGGTTTTTGCGGTCTCTTGAAATGAATTGATTTAAACTTTATCAATTAACCCTTGTACATCTTTTATCGAACTTTTCAACGCCAGTTTCGTACATTATTTTCAGGGAAGTTCTCTTAAATTAGTTTTATAATTGGTGATTCTTAGTTAGTTGCGTTCTCAGTTACTGTTTGCTCACTCGATTTTTTTTTTTTGTTTTACTTATTATCTAAAATGAACTGATGATATACTTTTTGTTTATAATGGAGCTTGTGAATAGGCAGATTTAGAATTTTGGACCTGAATTGTCTAACAAAGTTTTTATTGTAACTGCCTTAGCATAAAATGCTTGAAAAGAATAGGCTAAAAATTTAATGTAGAAAGTTTTTTTTTTGTTTAAAGTAATTTGATACTTTGAGAGTGTTTTTCAGTAATACAAAAGAGCAGAATAGATAATAATCAAATACCTGTATCAACAGAAACTGGTTGAAATTCGTAGAATGTGACCATTTTTTTTTTTTTTTTGGTTTTATATTAGGTCTTTTAGGCGTTTGTAATTAACGCTTGAAGTAAAATTCAACCGATAAATTTTCAATTCAGCTAAATTACAGTGCTTTTAGCATTTATATATACATTTGTTTGTTTTTAAAAGGTTTAAGTTGACTGGTTTGGAACTGAATAAGTGATTGTTGACAGATGAATAAATAGTCTTGTTGTCGAAGAGCAGCAGTGAATAACACTTAAAAAAAGGGATAAAATTTTGAAAAAATTTGGTTACATATCCACAATTACATCAACAGTTCTTTTCTTTTTTCTTCTTCACTCTGAAGCTGTAGAAAACAGTGGTTTGTGTAAACTTCTAGTTTTTTTTTTCTTGCTGGAACTGACGACATTTGAGTGAATTTTACCTGTTCAAAAACTGTCACTTTAACGCTTTCCTTTTTATTTCTTTACTTCAATAATTAATTCGTCACTTTTTTTACTTTTCTTAGTAAGTGAAATCGTATTTACTACATCCTTTTAAAAAGTTGTATGAGTATGTTAAGAAAAAAAATCAAATTAAATTTATAAAAAAAAAGATTATTGAATTTAACAATTGCTTTATTTTATTATTTTTGCTTGCTAAAGAGTAATATTGACAATTTTTTTTTTAAAAACAGTTTTGAAAATTATTTTTCAACATTTCATTGCCAATTATTTTGTAACATTTAATGTGTTATTATTTTTACTTTTTGTAGTTTAATCTTAAGTATATCTTTGCGTAATTTATTTCTAAAAAAAAACCTATTAAATTTCTTTTTAATTTTTAAGTCTTTTCAGGGAAACATCAATAAAATTAAGTTTAATCAATGATCTGTACAAAGAAAGCAACAGTATCGGCATAGTTGAAGACGAACAATATGTTAGTTGGTACTAAAAAAATAGATCAAGTTTTACAAACCGGTGTTAGATTTTACACAACCTTTAGACGGATTGTTGATGATATGATCTGCAGAACCCAAATGTAACTGTGATGGAATAGTTTTTGTACAAAAATAGTGCTGCATATAATCAACAAAAAAAGATTTGATTAGAATTTTGTAAAGAGATAAAAATGAATTGTTTCTCCAATGTCGATGATCTCAACTGACAGTTTTGCTTTTCATCAGACGTGTAGTTTTGTTATCTTAGTCAATTGAACTTTATGCAGTATTTTTTT